GCAAACTATTTCATTACATGCTGTTTGTTCTTGGATTAGTTCCTAGAGAGTTATATAACTTTTGTCTTTTTCTCTTTAAAATGTTTTTATTATGCTAATACAGTTGTCCTGTTTTATCCCCTTTATTTCCCTCTAAACTGCAATCCCTACCCACCAGCAGTCCCCCACCCCTTAGTTCATGTCCATGGGCCCTACATATAAGTTCTTTGGCTTCTCCATTTCCTACAATATTCTTAACCTTACCCTGTCTATTTTGTACCTACCATTTATGCTTCTTATTCCCTGTACCTTTTCCCCCAATCTCCCCCCACCATACCCCCTGCTGGCATTCCTCCATGCGATCTGCATTTCTGTGATTCTGTTTCTGTCCTAGTTGTTTGCTTAGTTAGTTTGTTTTTTTTAGGTTCACTTGTTGAGGCTTATGAGTTTGTTGTCATTTTACTGTTTATAGTTTTGATCATCTTCTTTTTCTTAGATAGGTCCTTTTAACATTTCATATGACAAGGGCTTAGTGATGATAAACTCCTTTAACTTGACCTTATCTGGAAAGCACTTTACCTGCTCTTCCATTCTAAATGATAGCTTTGCTGGATAGAGCAATCTTGAATGTAGGTCCTTGCCTTTCATGGCTTTGAATACTTCTTTCCAGCCACTTCTTGCCTGCAAGGTTTCTTTTGAGAAGTCAGCGGATAGTCTTATGAGCACTCCTCTGTAGGTAACTCTTTCTTTTTCTTTTACTGCTTTTAAGATTCTCACCTCTTTAATTGTGGGTAATTTAATTATGTGCCTTGGTGTATGCTTCCTTGGAACCAACTTTTTTGGGACTCTTTGAGCTCCCTGGACTTTCTGGAAGTCTATTTCCTTTGCCAGTTTGGGGAAGTTTTCTTTTGCTGTGTTTTCAAATAACTTTTCAATTTGAAAATTGAAACTTTGCTCTTCCACTTCTCCTTCTGGCACCCCTTTGATTTGGATGTTAGGACATTTAAAGTTGTCCCAGATGTTCCTAAGCCTCTCCTCAATTTTTTTGAATTCTTGTTTCTTTATTCTGTTCTGGTTGAATGTTTATTTCTTCCTTCTGCTCCAAATCATTGATTTTAGCCCTCGTTTCTGTCCCTTTACTGTTGATTCCCTATACATTTCTTTTCATTTCATTTTGTATAACCCTCACTTCTTCCTTTATTTTGAGACCATACTCAACCATTTCTGTGAGCATGCTGATTACCAGTGTTTTGAACTCTGCTTCTGATAAATTGGGTACCTCATCATTGCTTAATTCTATTTTTGGAGCTGTGACCTGTTCTTTCATTTGAGCCATATTTTTTTTTGTCTCAGCACAGTTTTTACCTTGTAAGGCTCAGACCCTTAGGTATTTGCTAGGAAGGGGCAACCCATGTTGTTGTGTTGTGGTGCTATATGTGGGGAAGGGGTCAGAGAGGGAACAATGCTACTTGCTTAGCTCTCCACCGGCGTTCAGTCACTTCCCACCTTACTCACAAGCACATTGGGCCCTTCTGGTGCTGATTCCTGGGTGGATGGTTTTGTGTGCATTCTAGGACCCTGAGTGTCTCTCAAGTGAAGTCTCCTGTGAGGCTAGGACTTTCTCCTGCTGCTGCAACACCCACAGGTTTTTACCACCAGGGGTTTTGAGGCTTTCTTTCCCCACACTGGAACCCTGGGTTTTGCAGTCTGTCTTGCTCCTCGGTTGTTTCTCCTAGTTCATCCTCACACAAATGTGGGACTGCCCCACCCACCAGCTGCTGCCTTACCCTCCTGGCCCTCCAGCCGCCACCTTGCTGAATGTCCTCTCAGCCCTAGTTGCTGGTCTCCATCCCTCCTACCAGTCTGAATAAATCCTTGGTTGGATTTTTAACTCCTTGGTTGTCATGGATTTCCGTAGTTCAATTTTCTGGCAGTTCTGGTTATTTTTTGTTTTTAAATTTGTTGTTTTCATCATTTGTTTGTGCGAGGAGGCAAAGTGTATCTACCCATGCCTCCACCTTGGCCAGAAGTTTATATAATTTTTGAATATGCTCATGTAAAGATAGGGTTTTTTCCCCTGTAGCAATAGAGGGCGCCCTTGGTGATTAATCTTCTTCTAGTCTGCTTTTGTAACAGGGTACAGCCAAGGGGGGGAGGAAAATAGAGATTTGTCCTGGGGTCCAGAACTCAGTATCCAGGAAATATTAGGAAAATATATATAGAATGTCCTCACCCCTACAAGTCTGAGCTGGAAGATAGGATGCATGGAGCAGGGCCATTGCTAGAACAGTGGTTTAACATCTCTATCACTTTTCACTGGTTCTATAGATATGTTAAACAGCTGTGGCCATGCTTTGAGCCAGGGGGATGGGGGTGACTTCAACCCATAATGTAACTGGGAGGCAACTCCCCCTGGTTACAGAGCCTGCATAAGAGCTTGGAGATGAATGGCTCCACACCATAGGGCCTCACCTGCCTGGAATTACTATGACAGCCCAGTAAAGCTGGAAACATGGGAATGCTGCCAGCTGTGGCCATTTGTTGGAGGAGTTGGAAATGGTGTGGCAGAGGAAGATTGGTGCTGGGATTTAAATCCAAGTGCAGCAGCCATGAAGAGTCTTTTTGGGACCATGCAGCTTGGACAGAGAAGAACCACAGACTTCTATATCTTTTTCTGAGATACAGTACCCTGGACTGGAAGAGCGGGAAGGAAGGAATGTGCATTCTAAAGGACTTTGGGATCTCAATGAAGACATTAAGTCATTACTCTCAAGTTTGTATAACTTTTAAATAAAAAATCCCTTTTCTTTTCATCAATCTCTGGCATCGAGAGACATCTTTTTCTGGTGGTGGGCAAGTTGAACCTAGTACAGGATAGAGGACCCCCAGGGCATAAAGGTGGGTCCATTCAGTAACAGTATATTATTCGCTGGTCCCCTGACCAGGTCTGTTCTGTAACACTTTAGCATTTGATCCTGCTACCAGTATCACCACTCAGCATCTATTTTTGTTTTGAGATTCCTAAACATACCATAGTAATTTTGTTAATTCAGATTTCATATTCATAGAGGGGCCTGGATTGGGATATCAGTTTAATGTATGGATATTTTTTCCCTACCAAATTTCCCAAAAGAAGACAGATTCCCTTATAATCTTCACGAGATACAGAGGAAAGTCTATTTGTCTCTGTTTCCCATTTGGGACAATCTTCTCACAGCTTCAACTACCATATGTATGCTGGAGAGTCCCCAATATTTTGCTCCACATGTGTCAAATTCAGCATAATTCAATTACAAATCACTAGTTTCCCACAAATCAACTATTTTTCCTTTAAGATTATCATCTTTGTGAAAGGCATTATTTCAGTTTCTTAATTCTCAGACATCAGACTCATCTCTAGATTTTCTTTCATTCTCAATGGACATCATATTCATAAAATAGCTCCACTCAGTCCAACAAATTTCTGTGTCATTTCTTCCTATAAAATGACTCCTGCTGTGTCAGGGCATTGGTCTTGTTTCTACTCCAAGTTTCCATAACAACTGACACAATCATGGCACAATCCGTGTTTCATAGCAATCTCTCATACTCAAAATTCCAGATTTAAGGTGTTACTCTTGCCATCACAAATTGATTCAAATGACTATTTCTCAGTGCTCTGGAAGATGGTACCTACCTATCACCATTCTGGATACATAGAATAGAAGTTAGTTTATTACATATGATGAATTCTCCAAGGATTCTATTGTGAAAATTTGCTGGATAAAATCTAAATTTGTTAGCATTAAATATAATAATTTCACAATGCTTTCCTAGTGTTTTCACCAATTTCTCCAAAATAATACATGCCAGGTAAACTTCTGTTATTATTGTTCTGTGAATGAACAATTATCTTTCCACTCTTCTGGGTCTGTGATAAGTACGCCATATCCTAAATGAGGAACTATTGTTATACATACCTCTATGTAAAGTTCTTATACATACACATTACACACACACACACAAGCATACGCATTATCCATATCCTTTTAAAAGAGCTTTATAAAGGCTCTCTGCATTATGCATGTTTTCTTATAATCATCCATCTCTTTCATTAGTCTGTTAATTATGTGAAGGAAATGATTCGTCTTTATATAACCAGGGTTTAACAGAATTGAAAACCATACAACTAGGGGAGTCAGGCAAATGATATAAAAAATAAAGGGGATAGTGGGAAACTGAGAAAGCTGAGAAAGAGGCAGAATTCCCACATCTTATTATAGGGTGTCAACCCTGCTCAGTTGTAGACTTTTGCCCTTTCTGTGGAAATGCGGGCTTAGTTTAACAGATTGTATAATTTTCAAGCAGAATCATAATATCAAGATTATGTTATCAAATCTCTTGATTTTTAAACATTTACAACTAATAATTTTGGTTTATAGCCAGAACATCTGCTGGAAAACTGCTATAATGAAATTGCTTCATACAGTAAGTACACAGATATATTATGGTTTCTAATAATCAAATTTAATACAAAAATAAAATGGAGACCATAGAGAAGCATAACTGGGTGGCACAGTACCTTTCTGAAAACTCTCTTTGCCTCATGGGGCTTTCTGCAGGAACTCAAAGACGTCAGACCTTCTGAAAAGGGCTGAGGGCACCAACAGCCTGTGTTTAAGACTAAGGAATGATTCATAGGCTTTAGCAGTCAGACATTGATGACAAGGTAAATGTTTTATTCAAAGTGGATAATATATAGCACTTCCACACAGAACTCACCACATTTAAATATTAGTTGTTTTGTTTATATTTGTTTACTATAAGGCTATGCTTTACTTTTTTCCTTTAGCACAATCAACACTGAAGCTCAATAAAATTAATAACTACCTTTCTGACCAACATTACATATATGAGTCCATTGTCTCTTTCTTGAGATATTAGGATACACACATTTATTTAATATATTTGTAACATGTGACAAGATTATATTCTCCTAATATTTTTAAATCAAATTCTATTAGAGTGATTAAATCTCTTACCTCAAAAACAACATCTTTACAACATCCACGTGTACAAAATGGGCCAACAATTCTTAGCATATCATTTCTATCCTCATTTTGAATTGTAACCTTAGGCAGACACATGTGAGCAGCCCGAATAACATATCCTATTAGTGTACCAGGAGGAGAGTAGATTTCTATCTACAAAAGCAAAAGAATATGTAACACACAATCATCATTGTCATCCTCATCATCATTATTATCATAATAATAATATGAGTTCTCACTTAATGAGTACTTTATTGCAATGGGCAATATTTTTCCTTTCCAGCTTTACTGATGTATAATTGACAAATATAATTATAATATATTTAAAGTGTACAATGTGATGACATATACATTATGAAATGACTACCACAATCAAGTTAGTTAACACATCTGTCACCTCATATAGCGATGCTTGAGATCTCTCTTAGCAAACTTCAAATATACAGCATAGTCACCATGATGTACATTTGATACTCAGAATTCATTCATCTGCTAACTAAAAGTTTGTAAAGTTTGACCAACATTTTACCATCCTCCCTTCCCTAGTCTCTGGCAATTACTATTCAAATCTCTTTTTCTATGAGTTAGTTTTTGGGTTTTTTTGGATTTGGTACATGAGTGATTCCATATAGCACTTGCCTGCTCCTCTCTGCCTTATTTTCCTTAGTGTAATGCCCTCTAAGTGCCTCCACGTTGTCTCAGTGGCATGGTTTTCTTCTTTTCTTTGGTTGAATAATATCCCATTGTACATACCTATGTTTATATTACATTTTCTTATCCACTCATCTATCAACAGACACTTAGGTTGTTTCTATATTTCTATTATTTTGAAAATGCTTCAATTAATATGGGAGGGTAGATATCTTTTTAAAGACCTGGTCACATTTCCTTTGCATACATACCCAGAGATGAGATTGCTGTATCATATGAACCTGCATGCTCTTATCCACAGTGGCAATAACAATTTATATATATTCCCACCAACAGTGTACGAGGGTTCCATTTTTCTCCACACACTTGCCAAATTAAGTCTTTTTTTTTATAACAGTAGTCCTAACAGGTATAATGTGATATCATATTGTAGTTTTGATTTTATTTTCCTTAATAATTAGTTATGTGGAACAGGTTTTTATATATCTGTGGTCTATTTTTATGTCTTACTTGGAAAAATGCCTATTCAGCTCCTTTACCCACTTCTAAGTATAAGTTACTATTCTTGAAATACTTGATTGAATACAGTTGCTTAGATGTGTGAAAAGAGCTCTGATCACTGGTGCAATTTTCAGTATAAGTTGCAATGCTCCTATACAGAAAATGGGGCCAGGATCTTGGCTCTGCTGTTAGCTGGGTGACCTAGAGAGTACAGTACAGTACAGTCATTTGTAAATTATGCCTTCCTAGACTGTTTTCTAAGACCAATAGTCTAATGTGTGCTACTGTGCTTTTTACATTTACAGCATATTTCCTCAAACTCTGTTTTTCTCAGACATTCCTATGGACAAGTACTGCTATATCTAACCCAAATGACATAAAAAAACAAAAGAATTCAGTAGGAATAGCTTCAGTTAACTGTTTAAAGTAAATGCAGTATGAAACCTCAAATGTCTATGTGCTTGTGCCTCTGTCTGTGTCATGGACCCAGAGCTACTTGTCTGGAATGACTGGCCAGGCAAGGACTGGTCTCAGGCCGGGGGATATAGGCAAAGGCAACCTTTCTACAAACTCTCTGTGCCCTGGTGTCTCCCCTGAGATCCATGTTGTAAATCAGTGGGATGACAAGTGATATGAAAGAGACATCTGGTCTTTCCAGACCTGAAGGTACCCATACCTAGCGTATCTCTACGACAGAGGCTCAAACACATTCCTTTTTAAAAATGGGGATCTTAAAAACACAGGAGTTGAGCTTGCTCAGAGGTAGTCTCTCCTAGGTTTGTTCCATAATATGTTGGCCAAAATTATGAGATGACTGTATGTTCTTGTCCTCATCCTTCTGTACACTTGCTCCTGGAACTGTACTCCAGGACACTGCCTGTGGTTCCCTCCCCTGGCTTTGGCCAGGCCTCTCTGCTGGTCACTCCCAGTAAGGGACCTGACCAAGGGGCCTTGTCTTCTCAGCTCTCCTCAAAGATGAGGAAGTCTGGTCTCTGAGCAGATGCTCAATCCCACAAGACAAACTTCTCAGGGACATGGGGCTAACTGGTCACTGTTTTTCACCTGCCCTCCTTCCTGTCCAAATTACTCTCAAGCACAAAACAACAGCTCATGGACCAATTTTTATAAAATCTCATTTGATTACATAGGTTCAATGACAAGGTAAAAATTCTTGTTGAACTGCTTTACAAATTATTCAGGTAATGGCTCACGGACCTCCTGAAGGCAGCATGGGCAACAACAGCTGGCACATGTTAGTGGTTTCTCCAGAGTTATCACCTCTTGGCCCATAAGATCAAAAATTCTCACAGTAGAAGGCCTAAAACATGGACAGCAATTTCGAGTACAGCAATCAGTATCTTCCACAGCAAAGTAAATCCTCTGTCCAAGGCTGTTCTTAATTTCATATTTATTATTTGTTTCAAACCCTGTTATGGCTGAAAACAAAGAAGAGAAAATCTTAATCACCATTATGTTTAAAAATATAATGTATCTAAATATTTAAAATCAAGTACTTTTGATAATATCTCAATACTTAGATGACACTTAATGTCACATAGGGAGAATGAAAATGAAAGTTGTTTAAAGATGATCTAGAGTCCAGACAGAAAAAAAGCAAAGGAAGGGAAGCAGGAGAGGGTGTGAAGGTATATAAAATTGAGAGTTCCTCTGTGAGACATGGAGAAGAAAATGCTTATCTTCCTAATTCCACAAACTCATGTCTGGAAGGGCAACTTTGCTGCTGAGCAATGGGCTAATGATGCAGATGGTCACAGTCGAACTAGGTGTATACAGTGTCATGTCCATTTGCATGGTGCTGTTTTCAGTTATTCAATCAGGGAGGGGAATAGAGGATGATTGCCATGTTTATACTATATTAAATAAACATAGTGCATTAAATAAATTGGCTTGAGATTTTGTTTCATAATACATTCATGGCTTATCTTTCTGCACCGAATGAAGGAAGATAACAAAGGTGTTTACTCCCTTTGAATAAATGTAAAAAGGGAGATCGTGAAAGTGAAAGGTGGATTAGAACATCACACTGGGCCCAGAGTGTCCTTGTTTAATGCAGCAGTAGTTGTTTAGAGGTGGGAGGTGGTAATAGATGGCAGGGGGGGGGGGGGGGGACTAGTGGGGGAGGTGCCTGGCAACCAAGGCTACAACTCACAGAGTATCTCAGGATACTCTGTACCTTACAGGAGGCTAATCTCTTCACTGGGAAAGAGATATGTTCACTACTGACACCAATCTGATATCTTATGAAAGTCCTCCCAGACTGAACCACACATTGGAAACCGCTCCTCACTCAGAGCCAGGAAGGAGCAACTCACATTCCCACTAGTCCAGAGCCCTCATTAACTTGGGATGTAGGATGTCACAAGCTACCCATATAAAAAGGGATTAAAAGAAAGATATGAAGATGAAAAGTACTCTCTAATATCCATATGGATGGATTTTGATTCAGATACAGACATCCTGAACAAATTCTAGCACCATGATCTCCCCTAAATGTCTTTGTTCTGACTCACACAGGCCCTGGACTTTACCTTTATAAGAATCACCCTTCACCTAAACATATGCCAGTCAAATATTTCATTAAAAATATGAACTAATTTATGAAGTGGAATTTATTACCTAAGTGTTTCATTAAGTAGCTAAATCTCACAAATCTTGTTTATCTGTAAAATGAGATCAATGAACTCACGCAATATCTAAATTTTTTTCTTGTTACTTAAAAAATAAAAAGTAAAAAAAAACAACAACAGACAATTATATGGCTATACCTTAATGGTCCATTAATTTTTTCACAGTTTTTATTTTTCTTTTAATTAAATTTATTGGTGTGATTTTTATTAATAAGATTATATAAATTTTGGAAGAGTTCTGGCCAAGATGGAGGCGTGGGTAGAAACCCTTCACTTCCTCTCACAACCAGAATGAGGATAACAACCAATCTAAAGTCAATAAACAACCAGAAGCACTAGAAAATCAAACTAACCAAGGAATTAAAGAAAAAAATCAACCAGAACAACAAGACCAGTAAGGCAGACCCTGCAGGGTACTAACTTAAAAACAGCAGGGAGACAGCTGAGGCGGGGCAGGGAGCTGCTGGGGGCGGGGCGGGGGACTGACTTAAGGGGGAAACTGAAACTCAGAGCTGACTGTGGGCTACAGCTGGGGTTGCCATGGTGGGAAATTCTTCCAGTCTGACTCAAGAGTGTTGGAAAGGGTGCTAGAAATGAGCAGGCAAGCTGCATTGCTCACTCTCCTGGCCCCTTCCCCACAGGCAGCACAGCAGAGAAGGTTGCCCTGCCTGGATGAATATCTAAGGCCCTGCCCCTTACAACTTATCAGGTGTGCCAAGAAAATGAAATATGGCCCAAATGAAAGAACAGAGCAAAACCTCAGATGTAAGCGATGAGGACACTGCCAACCTAACTGATGGAGAACTTAAAGCCCTGGTAATCACAATGCTCACAGAACTGATTGAGCTTGGTCAAAAAATGAAAGATACCCAAAATGAAATAAAGAAAAATATTCAGGGAACCAACAGTAATAAGAAGGAAACCAGGATTCCAAGCAACGATTTGGAACAAAAGGAAGAAATAAACATCCAACTGGATCAGAACAAAGGAAGAATCCAAAAAACTGAAGAGAGGCTGAGGACTCTCTGGGACAACCTGAAATGTTCCAATATCCAAATTATAGGGGTACCAGAAGGAGAAGAGCAACCGCAAGAAATTGAAAACTTATTTGAACAAATAATGAAGGAAAACTTCCCCAGTCTGGCGAAGGAAATAAACTTCCAGGAAGTCCAGGAAGCCCAGAGAGTCCCAAAGAAGTTGGACCAAAAGAAAAACACACCAAGGCACATCCAAGATTAAAGACAAAGAGAAAATCCCAAGAGCAGCAAGAGAAAAGGGGACAGTTACCTACAAAGAAGTTCCCATAAGCCTATGAGCTGATTTCTCAAAAGAGACCTTACAGTCAAGAAGGGGCTGGAAAGAAGTATTTGAAGTCATGAAAAGTAAGGACCTACATCCAATATTACTCTATTCAGCAAGTTATCATTTAGAATGGAAAGGCAGTTAAAGTGCTTCCCAGATAAAGTCAAGTTAAAGGAGTTTATCATCACCAAACCCTTACTATATGAAACGTTAAAGGGACTTATTTAACAAAAAAAGAAGATCAAAACTGTGAACAATAAAATGATAACAAACTCATAACTATCAATAAATGAACCTAAAAGAAGAGAAAACAAAAACAAAAACTAAGCAAACAGCCAGAATAGGAACAGAATGAGAGAAATGGACATTACAGAGGGAGTTTAGAGGGGAGGGGGAAGGGAGGAATCATAGGGAAAGGTTTAGGGAAGAAGAAGCATAATTAGTAGGCATGAATAGATGGGGAAAGATAAAAAATGGTATAGGAAACAGAGGACTCAAAGAACTTATAGGTACAACCCACGGACATGAACTAAGGGGGGAAATGCTGGACGGTTGGGGGCAAGAGGAATGCTGGAGGGTAGAGGGGGGATAAAGGCAGAAAAATTGGGAAAACTGTAATAGCATAATCAATAAAAATACTTTTAAAAGATTATATAAGTTTCAAGTGTACATTTCTATAGTACATGAACTTCATATTGCACTGTGTGCCTGCCACCCAAAGTGAAATCATCTTTTGTCACCATATATTTTAAGCCCTTTACCCTTTACTGTATTCTCTTACCTCCCTTCCCTGTAATAACCACCATACTGTGGGGTATGTGTAGGGGTTTTTTGTTGGTTTGTTTTTCTTGTTTTATATCCCATATATGAGTGAAATCATATGGATCTTAACTTCTTCTGACTTATTTCACTTAGCATGATATGCTCAAGGTCCATCGATGTTGTTGCAAATGGCAATATTTCATCTTTACTTATGGCTGAGTGGTATTCAATTGTATATATGTACCACATCTTTATCCAATCATTTATTGAAGGGCATTTTGGTTGTCTCCATGTTTTGGCCACTGTGAATAATGCTGCAATGAACATAGGGGTGTATATTTCTTTGAGAATAAATGTTTTCAAGTAGGTACCCAGAAGAGGGTTGCTGGGTCAGATGGTGACTCTACCCTTAATGTTCTGAGGAACCAGCATACTATTTTCCATAGTAGTTGCACCAGTTTACATTCCCACCAGCAGTGAATGAGGGTTCCTTTTTCTCCACAGCCTCCTCAACACTTGTTACTACCTGTCTTGGGACATGGTAATTCTAGTAAGTGTGAAGTGGTATCTCATTGTAATTTTGATTTGCATTTATTTATTTATTTATTTATTTATTTTTTAATTTAATTTATTTATCTTTAGAGGGGAAGGGAAGGAGAGAGCGAGAGAAACATCAATGTATGGTTGCCTTTCATGCACCCCCTGCTGGGAATTGGCCTGCAGGGAACTGGCCTGCAACCCAGGAATGTGCCCTGACTGGGAATCGAACTGCGATTGTCTGGTTCGCAGGCCCACGCTCAATCCACTGAGCTACACCAGCCAGGGCAGATTTGCATTTATTTAATAGCTAGTCCAGTTGAGCATCTTTTCATATATCCACTGGCCCTTTGTATGTCTTTTTGGGAGAAGTGTTTATTTAAGTCCTCTGTCAATTTTTAAGTTGAATTAGGTGTTTTTTGTGTGTGTAGTTGTATGACTTCTTTATATATTTTAGACATTAGGCCCTGGTCAGAGCTTTTGTTTGCAAATATATTCTCCCATTAGGTTGGTTGACTTGTTGTTGTGTTGATGGTTTCTTTTTCTGTGCGGAAGCTTTTTTGTTTGATATAGTCCCATTAATTTATTTTTGCCTTTACTTTTTGCCCTTGGAGTCAAAGGCACATAATCTTTAAAACCAAGACTCATGCTTTTAGTTCCTATATTTTCTATGTAACTTATTTTTCCAGATCTTATATTTAGGCCTTTGATCCATTTAGAATTAACTTTTGTAAATGGGGGCAACATGTATCTAGTTTCATTCTTTTGTATGTGGCTTTCCAATTTTCCCAGCATCATTCATTAAAGAGTCTTTCTTTTATCCATTGTATACTTTTGCTTCTTTGTCAAAACTTATTTGTCCTTATGTATGTGGGTATTTTTCTGGGCTCTCAATTTTGTTTCATTGTTTTATGTATTTTTTCTGCCAATACCAACCTGTTTTGATTATTGTGGCTTTGTAGTATAATTGGAGTCTGAGAGTATGATACCTCTGGTTTTGTCCTTTTTATCAGGATTGCTTTGACTATTCAGGGTCTTTTTGGTTCCATATGAATGTGGTAAGTTTTTTTTGTTATTGTTCTATTTCTTTAAAAAATGCCATTGAGATTTTGATAGGGATTGCATTAATTCTGTTTATTGCTCTGGTTGATACAGACGTTTTGACTATGTTTATTTTTCCAATTCAT